TTTTTTTTTTTTTTTTTTTTTTTGGTTAATCTGTCTATATAGAATTTTAATTGTATGCCCATCTAAACTAGGTTAAGTGCTTAAAAAAAAGACAATATGGTTACTTCAAAACTTGAGAAAGCTGAACAACATGTGTGAACTGTTACAAAATTTGTTACTAAATAATTGCTTAAAAGTTTAAAATTCAGATGATACTAAATTACAAATGTTGTAACTAGTAGTAGTTAATTGTAAGTTAACAGTAAGTAAAGACCTTATCTGTGTGGCTGTTTCAGCTGAAATGATGGGTCATTTGTCAATTTGTTGTGTATGTTCCTTGATTATTTTTTGAGTTTATCACATATTTGTGTGTAAGCTTCAATAATACTAAGAGTAAGGCAGAAGTACTTTGAAGATTAAATCACTATAGAAATTTGAATGTGTGGGCATGTAAATAAATTGGAAAATTTTTCCACTAAATTACTATTTTAATGGCTTTGGAAAGAGACTACCCACAATTCTAAGCATTGAATCTAAACTATATGGGATATATTAAAATAAACTCTTACAAGTTTAATGTTAAAATTTGACTGAGAGTGGAATTCAAAGACAGACAGACCTCAATCTTAGCCTTACCTCTTTAACATGGGCAAGTTACTTAATCTTCTAAGCTTTTGTTTAAGAAGGAGATAACAAAGTGCACATGAGCTATTAAATAAGTAATGAATGAAGATAATTTAAATAAAGCATTCAGAATACTTGTATTCACTATTCACGAAGTGTTCTGGTATGATACAAAGCCATTTGCAGTTTGTGAATTCTAATTCTGGCTCTTTTGTCTTTAAAATAAAAAGAATGAAACTCCCATGTTTTCTAGGTTCCTTTTAAATGCTTATTTTATAAACTTTTTAAGAGCTGGAGATGGGGGTTCAGCCACATACACCTAAGGTGGTGGGTTCGAATCTAGCCTGGGCCACTAAACAATGATGACGGCTGCAACCAAAGAAATAGTTAGGCATTGTGGCGGGTGCCTGTGGTCCCAACTACTTGGGAGGCTGAGGCAGGAGACTAGCTTGAGCCCAGGAGTTGGAGGTTGCTGTGAGCTGTGATGTCACAGCACTCTACCCAGGGGGACAGCTTGAGGCTCTGTCTCAAAAAAAAAGAGCTGGAGAAGGGAACACAATGCTATATATATATATATTTTTTACCGTGCTATTTTAATTTTAAACACTGTATAGTATTAGAAAATTCTTTTGATTCATTCATTTTATCAAGATTTAGGACACTCTTAAAATTGGGTTCTGCTAACCATCTTTTACCAGGATAAACTAAATGGAGGGGTGATTAACTTAATAAATTCAGAATACCACTTCTGTTGCATGATGAATACTTAAAAGTCTGCCTGTGATACTGGTATGACTTTATTTGAAACTTTATCAGCTAGGTTTCAGCTGATTTTTAACTATAGAAGCTGTAACTGAGACTTTTATAATTAAAGGAGAAATTAGGTTATAGTTATTTAACTTGAGAACTTTATATAGTAAATGTGTATTCTGGATTGCACAGAACTGATAAAATATAAAAGTGTTTTATTTGGAGTTACGTGGGTGTTGTAGGTAGGCATAGTGTCCATAAAAATTAATCCATACGTGTGAATCACAGACCACTAGATTTTCATTTTATTTTGCTCTTGTTGAGGAATAGTAGGATGGCAGGATGAGCACTAAGGGATATCTGGCTGGTCCCGTTAAGTTAGCCTGGTCTTTAAAAAGGAACAGAAACTGCAGGTATTAGTGATATTTTTGTGATTGAAACACACCTTTAGTTATGTCAAGTCCTCAGAAAACTTTCTGAAAAATTGATAAATTAATCATTACACATCATTAATATGGAATAGTTGGTCACAAAGAACTGAACTATAATGTGTTAAATATCCTGTCATGGAGTCTAAGAAGTACCATATAAAATGGGGAAACAATCTATATTGCATGACCATATAAGGAATTCCCCTTTGGGTGGCGCCTGTGGTTCAAAGGAGTGGGCGCAGGTCCCATATACCGGAGGTGACAGGTTCAAACCTAGCCCGGCCAGAAACTGCAAAAAAAAAAAAATAAATTTCCCTTTATTTTTTAAAAGAAGGCCTTCAAACATGGTGTATAATTACGTATACACTTGTGTAATATGTATGTAATACACACACATATTCCTGAGAAAGAATCTGCAAAGATGCACACCAAGTTGATAACCATTGTTAATACTGGTGTGAGGAAAGTTCAGTGGGATTTATTTTTACTTTCATATATGTATGTGGGTTTTTTTTAATGTATCAGAAATGTATTTGTAAATAAGCAATTTTAAAATTGATAGACTGAAAATGAATGTGAGCATTTTCAGAATCTAAGAATTTTGAGGCTGTAATCTTTGGTCTTGGCACCTCTCAGTGGTCCAGGATGGATAACTAAAAGGGCAGCTTGCCTGGGATAGAGTTAAAAGAAATTTTAAGTCTTTTTGTTTCCTCTTCATAATTGAGGTGGAAAAGAAGCAGCCTAAACAATGTTAAACTTGCTGGAGAGCGCATGAACGCGATCTTAGCAAGACCCTAAACCTGTAACTAGTGTAATTTTTTGTTTCCTTTTTAGCTCCGGACCAAAATTTAACAGTGCCATCCGAGGAAAGATTGGGTTGCCTCATAGCATCAAATTAAGGTTTTTAAACATACTTCTGAATTGTTAAAATTGTTTTTTTAAGGAACTAATGTGGTGTACTTGTTTGGATAACTTCTGAAACTTTTTAACTTTGCAGCAGACGACGTTCTCGAAGCAAAAGTCCATTCAGAAAAGACAAGAGCCCTGTGAGGTAGCTGTTTGCCCCTATTTTTTTTTTTTTAATCCTTTAAAGCTTGATATAAAGCTTCACTGTTATAAAGCTTTTGTATTTATAAATAATGCTGCTGCTAAATTTAATGATATTTAGTAATTTGGATGATACTAAATCCTTTGCTTCCTTTTACAGAACTATTAACTTTTAAATGAATGTTTATTTCTACTGAGTTTTCAGTACATTTTGTTTTAATTTCACATAATTTAAAAAGGTGCAAAATGGGCTGGACATGGTGGCTCCTGCCTGTCATCCTAGCACTCTGAGAGGATAAGGTGGGTGGATTCCTTGAGCTCATGGGTTCCAGACCAACCTGAGCCAAGATTGAGACCTCTCTCTACTAAAAATAGAAAAATTAGCTGGACGTTGTGGTGGGTGCCTATAGTCCCAGCTGCCTGGGAGGCTGAGGGAACAGAATTGCTCAATCCCAAGAGTTTGAGGTTGCTGTGAGCTTTGATGCTATGGCACTCTCCCCAGGATGACAGTGAGACTATCTCAGAAGAAAAAAAAAAAAAACAAAAAATGTGCCATTTTAATGTATAGGTACAACATGTGGTCATTTCAAAATTAAAAAAATATTATTTTAAATTGACAATATGATGGTGTACCATTTATGAAGCACTTTGTGCTATTTTGGTACTTGTATACAGTGTGTACTGATGAAATCTGAGTAGTTGTATGTCCACATGAAATATTATTTGTGTAATAAACATAGTAAGCTATAGAAAAAGTGAAATATATTTGACGATTTATTTTTGGAATCAATAAACAAATGAGTTACTTGAAATAGCCTAATGTGGAAAAGTAATTGTAATAATTCTCAGTTCTGCCATTTGACTCTGATTTCTCTGGAAACATTTTATCTCAAAAATCTTACTGAATAGAATTGTTTTTAATATTACTCTTAGGTTTTAATGTTTATTTTCCTACAAAATAAACATAAAACCCAGGGCAGGCTTGGTGGCTCACGCCTGTAATCCTAGCACTTTGGGAGGCAAAAGCTGCTAGATTGCTTGAGTTGAGGAGTTGGAGCCAGCCTGAGCAAAGTGAGACCCTGCCTGTACTAAATAGAAAAATTAACCAGGCATTGTGGTGGTCACCTGTAGTCTCAATTACTTGGGATCCTGAGGGAAGAGGATCACTTGAGTCTAGGAGTTTGAGGTTGCTATGAGCTGGGATGCCATCGCACTCTATCCACGGTGACTGCTTGAGACAATATCTTCAAAAAAAAAAAAAAGTTGAGTGTGGTGGATCACACCTGTAATCCTAGCACTCTGGGAGGCTCGAGCGAGTAGATTGCTTGAGCTCACAAGTTCCAGACCAGCCTGAGCAAAAGTGCGACCCTGTCTTTCTAAAAATAGAAAAACTGAGGCAAGAGGATTGCTTGAGCCTAAGAGTTGGAGGTTGCTTTGAGCTATGATGCCATGACACTCTACCCAGGGTGACAGCTTGAGAGACTGTCTCTAAATAAATAATATAAAACCCCCAATTGGGGCCAGGCGAGGTGGCTCTCCCCTGTAATCCTAGCACTTGGGAGGCTGAGGTGGGCAGATTGCCCGAGCTCACACATTGGAGAACAGCCTGAGCAAGAGTGAGACTCCCTTCTGTAAAAGATAGCGGGGTGTTGTGGCAGGTGCCTGTAGTCCCAGCTAAATGGGAGGCTGAGGTTAGAGAATTGCTTACGCTCAAGAGTTTGAGGTGGTTGTGAGTTATGACACCACGGCATGTACCAAGGGTGACCAAGTGAGACCTTCAAAATAAATAAAACCCAAAAATCAAAAAAAAAAAAAAAAACAAAAACGACTATAAGATCTGTACGTGTACCATGTTGCATGTTGGTTCAGGATTATTTTGTCTTACGGTAGCGTTGTTCTTAGGTCATATTTTCTGGCTTTCCTCAAAAGAGCACCTTATAATTTTGTATTTTGTTATTTGATGTATTCTAATTGTGTAGGATTTTATGAAAACATTCATGATTTTTAAAGCTCCTTTTGTAAAAAGTACTATAGGCAGAATGATTCTGCTGTTCCCAATTCCCCCCAAAGTGTTTTTTGAGAATGTTCATAAAATGAACAAGAGGGTATTTAGGCTTTTATCTTTAAGGATTGACTTAGAAGCTTATGATGAAGTTAATGAAAATGACATTTTATCTACTGTGCTCTTTTACTCTTCTCCCTTGCATCAATACTGAGTACTTGCTGTCTTTTAGTTTTTTTTAGAAATAAGAGTAAATTGAATCCCACTTCTGATATTTGGCTATGACATGTTGGTTATGGTTCTTTAACCATCAGGAAACATTAATTCACATATTAAATTTGCTGAGACATGGTTCGGCACCTGTGGCTCAGGTGGCTGAGGCGCTAGCCACATACACCTAGGGTGGCGGGTTTGAATTCAGCCCAGGCCTGCCAAACAACAATAATGGCTGCAACCAAAAAATAAAAAAAAAAAGCTGGGCGTTGTGGCGGGCGCCTGTGGTCCCAGCTACTTGGGAGGTGGAAGCAGGAGACTCGCTAGAGCCCAGGAGTTGGAGGTTGCTGTGAGC